TGTCCATACGATATGTAGAGTCCAGCTGCAAGACGGATTCACCAAATTGGGCACGCAGCGTGTAGCGAAGCTGGAGATAATGAAAAAGCATGAAATTTGGGAGGTTAAATTCCACTTTGAGGCCCTGAAAGGGTTTAATACCAGCACTGGTGAACACCTGGGAAGCATACAAAGTCCCCCTATTGATCCATAAATGAAAACCTTGAAGAGTGAGCAATTCAGGGAGGCCAATGACCAAATCCTACAATGGTGGTACAATAATCCCCTGAGGCCACCCATAATTGAGGGATCTCGCATGCCCTTTAATAACAGTTGAAAGGGGTGAACAGCCCAAGAGAAGGCCGAAGCACACACCAAAGCAAGATATCTGTCCCTATCCCCCTTGTCCAAATGGAAAAAGGGAGACAATTGGGTCGCTAAGTAATAAAGGTTAAGAACTGGAAGTGCTGCACCCCCCAGGTGCATGGGTTTTTTAAGAGCATGCCACAATAATTTATGTCTCATATTGCCCTATACAAAAGATTTTATCATGGAGTCAAGAGCTTTGAATACCCGCAATGGTAAATATGCGGGTGCATGCCAAAGAATATAAAGAAGTTTGAGAAGGAGCACCATCTTAATCAAATTAATGCACCCCATGACCCCCAAGGGGAGATGAGCCCAGGCCTGTAATCTGGATTTTAGCATAGGGTACAGGGGCTACAAGTTAAGCTGAAGATAATCTTCAGCCACATAAGAAACCACAATCTCAAGACAAGTAATAGTGCTGACTCTAACTAGAGAGAGAGTGGCCTGCTCTTTCGTAGGAGCACCAATATCCAGAGGGAGAATCTGGGACTTCCCCCAATTTATTCTAAGACCGTAAAAACTTCCAAAATCTTCTATAAGGTCAAGAGCAGCCCTAAGCGAGGGGCCTGCATCCTCCAAGTACAAGAGCATGTCATCCGCATATAGACTCACCATTTTGGTTAGCAGACCAGAGCACAGACCACGAATATTGGGGTGTATACAGAGAGCTTAGGCCAGGGGCTCCACCGCCAGCGCATATAACAGAGGGGGAAAGGGGACATCCCTGACACATACCTCTAGAAAGGGAAACTGAATCAGACACCTGACCACCAACCAATACCCTAGCTGTAGGCGAATGATAAAGTAGTCTGAGCCATTTGAGAAATTTGGGTCCAAATCCAAATCTATGTAAACATTCCCATAAATACCCCGATTCCACAGAGTCAAAATCCTTGGCTGCGTCGAGGGAAACAACAACTCTGGAACCCATATTATCATGGGCGGAATGCAGATTCATAAAAAGCCTCCGAAAATTGAAGGCAGTGTTTTTGGCTGGTATAAACTCGACCTGATCTAGGTGAATTAAAATGTGATTTTATTTAAGCGTAGGGCCAGAGTCTTAGCCAAAATCTTAATATCCAGCTGTAAGAGAGAAACGGGGCGATATGATTCGGGGAGCAGGGGATCCTTACCAGGTTTAGGAATGAGGACTATTAAGGCTTCACTCATAGAGTGAGGGATAGAGGTGGATTTATAGATATGTTGGTAGAAAGAATGTAAACGAGAGATAAGGGAGTCCTGAAAGTAGATGTAAAACTCCAAAGGGAGTTCATCAGAACCTGGTGCATAAGAGGGGGATAAGTGAGCCATAGCTTCAGTAATATCTTCTACAGAAATGGGGGCCTCCAGGTTAGCAATTTGAGAAGGGGTAAGGGTAAAAACGGTATGGTCTGTAAAAGTTGTATAAGCTCAGTGGGAGAGTCATTAACAGTGGATGAATAGAGGGTGGAAAAAAAGTCACAAAACTCCCCTGCCACCAGGTCCGGGTCAGTGATACGGGCACCCGAGGTGTCCTGCAAGGAGATCACAGTAGGAGGTCTGAGATCCAAATGTGCCAGGTATGCCAAAAGATGACCAGCTCGTTCCCCATGTGCAAATATTCTCTATCTACTAAAAAAAATATTCTGTTTGGCCTTCTCAAAGAGCAGATGATTAACCAGGAAAGCCTGTAGTGTAACAAGGGAAGCAAGTCCCAGACAGTCCCGAAATCGGCCAACCCCTCATTAGAAGGGACGGGTGGGATGTAGTAAGCCAGTATCAGCAGTTCTATATCATTAAGGATAGTATGTAAAAAAAGAAAACCTCAGCCCACAATCCAAAGGCAATACAAAATACAGGTATTCGCCCACATAAGGCATAGTCAGAGGAGCCATTATCTTTACATATCTATCAATGGACAGCATAACATTCTTCTTACGTTTGCAAACACAATACAATACTAACAGGAAGAAACAAAATGAGTAACAAAATAAGCTATGCACTCTGGACCAGCATGGAGAGGGCAATATAAAATACAGAAAGTGGACAAATTGCCCCAGTCCAGCTGGCCAGGGAAACCTCACATGGATTAAAATGTAAAAAAAAAAAAAAAAAAGAAAACAAATATGCCAAACCTCCACCCAAAACCAGACTCTGTGAACAAAAAACAACAGCAAATCTGGAGCATACGGAGGGAAGTTAAGGTACTAGGGGAGCGAACAATCTGCTGAAAAGTGGTTCATAGCCCAGGATGTCTTAGGTCCAAGTGGAAAAAGAGATAAAACAGAATAAAACAGAAAATAGAGAAGTAAAAAAGGAAGAAGAAAAGGACAGAAGAAGAGGAGAAGGAGAAAAGAAAAGGAGATGTAGGGAGGGAAGAAGGGAGAGGGAAAGAGAGGGAGGGGTGGAAGGGGGGGGGGGTAAGAGAAAAAAGGAGGGTGAGGGCAAGGGGGCAAAAGAGGGGAAAAGAGGGGAGGGAAAGAGAGAGAAAAGTAAACATAGGAAAGAAATAGATGAGAAATTAAAAGGGAAAAGGGAGTATAGGGGAAAGAAGCAGAGCAATTGAAGAAACCAGCGGACATCTAGATAGGAGAGGCCCGAGACGCACAAGTAGGACAAAAAAAAAGAAAGTAAGAGCTGAAAGCAAAAAATAAAACAATTGGCCTCCACAAATTGTGCACAGCGTTTTTGCACCTCAGCCAAGAAGCTGGGAAAAAAATACAATCCTGATATTCTGAAAAGGGATGCTTCCCTGGTGAGGTGAAGGATAGTGTCCCGGTCACAATCCCGATTATAATAGTTCAGGAGTTTGGCAATAAACGTGAGTGGCGGTGCACCTTTTGGTGGAGGCTAGAGGCCAGGCGATGGGCATGCTCCACCATGAAAGTAGGGGAGAGTGCCTCCCTGCAATAGGTATTAGTGAGCAACGACTCCAAGAAGAGTGCCTCCCTGCAATAGGTATTAGTACTCCAAGAAAGTATGCGAAATCCAATCTCTCCATACCTTCGGGTAGACCAACAAATTGGAGGTTGCACCTACTAAAGATTTTATCATGGAGTCAAGAGCTTTGAATACCCGCCTTCTCCATGTCTTCTTCTGCAGCACTGTATGAAGCTGGTGCTTCAGGCGTTCAGTAGTAACTTGTAATGGCGGCAAATCATCCTCCACGTGACTAAGACGCGCTTCTGCCTCTGTGACCCGCTCACCGGACATTTTGTAAATCTTGCCGAATAAGTGAGATGTCAGTCTTTACCTCTTCAGTTTTGCAGGTTAAGGTGCTCTGGCAGGTGGAAATCGTTTCTAATACCTTATTAGTGTCAGATTTCGCAGGTTCCCCCACAGCAGAGGCCACGGCCCTATCTTCTCTCATGGTATCTTTCTCCTTATGGCGAAACATATGAAGTTTGCCATCAGCGTTAGCAGCTTCTTTCAGTGGCGACATGGCACAGGAGGGCAGAAGAGAGATTAGCAGGCGTATTGGGTGTGAGTGTGTGAGCAGGATATCGTGCAGGATCAGCAGAAACGGATGAGTCTTAGACGGAGCTCCCAAAAAATGCACTCTACGCCATGCTGCTCCAGGCCACGCCCCAATGCCACGCCCCCTTAGACTACATTTAAAGGTAATTAAATGTCTTAACCATACTCTCTATATAAATGTTGCAGCATATGGGCTCAAGTTAGGAAGAGGCCATGGCCCTTGAAATGTGTTAGATGTGCCCCATTTGATGGTTTTAAGTTTGGTGGTGTCTTGTACATTACAATGCCTGTGTTTTTTCTCCCTTTGAACTAAAATGGATTTTCTTTAGAATATAATTCTGATGGTATCACTTCCCCTCCAGTTTTCTAGGCATTAATTACAGTTATGCTTTTTTTATGAAGACCAGAAGAAGACACGGTGTAGGTTCATTAGAATGCTCATTTTATTCTGGTTTGGCTTGCAATAACTTACTGGCATGATGTATCTCATATGTAGACTCCTCTTGATCCCCTTATTTGTGGTTTGGAAAACCAGTCTTAGGCTAGTGTAAACCCCCCCTCCCCTCACAAAAAAATGGCCAAATATATTCTCACAGGTTGCATATAGCCACAAATTGGGACACTCTGTTTTTACCCAGCACTTCATGGTTTTCATGAAAAAAAATGTTTTGGGCCAATGAAATACATGCCTACCAAATATTCCATTAAGAATATGCAGACCTTTTTCATAAGGTTTGTGATCCATGGGATGTATACATGGTAAAGCCTAACTCCAGGTAAATAAGTAAAGTCACAGATGAAATACATATAAGTGAGCACTTTTACCTGTCAAAGGAGTGATATTTTTGTCCATCCAGTCCTTAGATATACACATCTCTGTCACACAGCACAGCCATGGTTGGCAGGGCAGGACATTTCCTGCTGCAGTTAAATACCACTAACAGGTTTGTCCTTCCCCAGCCTGTGACTGAACAATTGAAATCAGTAGCAGCATACTGATGAGCTGATCTCTCTGTCACTCTCTTTTTATTAGTGTGTCCTATGCACTGCAGTATACTTGATTGCCTTTCTGTGCTGCTTCTCCTTTAACCTAGCCTGAGCCCTTCTGTACAGGAACTGCAACATCCTTATTACAGATCAAATTTAGGTACTTGCACTGCTTGCAGTTTTTAAAATACATTTTATATATATATACTAACAGGGGCGGACTGACCATTTGGAAACTCGGGCACTGCCCGAGGGCCCGGGGTCAGTAGGGGGCCCAATGAGATGCCCCTGGCACCTTTTTCATAGGCTTTTTTGAGTTTGGGCAAGGACACAGGGGCCCCATGATCCCCTATTGCCCGGGGGCCTCATGAGTTGTCAGTCCGCCCCTGTATACTAATAAATACAGAGCTGCATCAGTGTGTTTCTTTTTATCTGTCTGTAGATCAGCTGAACTTAAATTATTCTTGCCAATTGGTTGTCTGTTGTACATTTTTTATTGTATTTTTTTATTTATTATAAGAAAATTAATCAAGTGAATTAAAACTAACTTAAAAATCTACCCCTCAATTTAATTTCCCCATCAACCATTCTATTGGGTAAGTCATATGGGTCATAAAGTAAAGCTTTTAGAACTGGGAGCTGTTTATATTTCATATTCTTTTTCACTGTTCTAAATGTACCACCTGCTCACGCATGAAAATATTCCAGTATTCTTAGGTCCTAAACAATGGTGGCATTTGTAGTGCATAATTATGTTTAAAAAAGCTTTTAGGTTCCCCAAAAGGTTTAAAAACTCAGATTTTCCATATGTTAATGACAATCTAATATGAATCTTTTGGATGTGTATGCATTTTTCTTTGAAATTTCTAAATGGACTGAATTCTTTTTTTTTCATAAGTGTTTTTGTGTTACCTATTCCTTCCTGTCCTGTAATGTAATGTGGACCATATTCCTGTGCTCTTTAAATGTTTGTTTAAAAAACAATTATGAAAAAATAATGTAAGAAAACACACGTGAGCAGCTAACTGTAGTGTCATCCTTAGTAGTGTCATCCTTACTGTTTTCATGGCTCATAATGAATGTGGACACTTAGCAAATTATTGTAATATATATATATATATATATATATATATATATATTAGTTCTCATTTAGTCCAGGAACTGGGAGCTTCAGTGATATCTCCTGAGGTGGGAGAGGAGCCAATGTTACAACATGCAGCAGGTTTAATTACAAAATAAATGAGTACACAGGGAGCAACAAAACACACAGCCGGATAAACATACGGTAGAGGGGAACTCATGGTAAACATGCCGTCTATCCATCACTCATACCTCACTGCGCTTGGCTCATGTAGCTATTGTGTTTGCTGGGACACTTGAACGTCCTATTCAAAATATTTCACAGCGGAGACCAATTTGTCTACAGCTTTATAAGGCACTCTCCAGATGTTGCTGAAGTAATGTCAAGAGTTGCCAAAATCCATAGCAATATTGTAAAATGCAGAACATTACACTAGGGGTTGAATAAAGCCAGTGATAAAATATCTCCCTACATTAATAATATATATATATATATATATATATATATATATATATATATATAAATTAAGGGAACACTGTGAAAACATATCAGATCAAAATGGGGAAAATCATGCTTGATGTCTATACTGAAATGGACTGGGTAATGTGTTAGGAACATAAGGATGCCCCATCGTTTGATGGAAATTAAAGTGATCAACCTACAGAGGACTGAATTCAAAGTCACCCTGAAAACCACAGTGAAAAAATGATACAGCAGGCTAGTCCATTTTGCTGAAATTTCATTGCAGCAACTCAAAATGGTACTCAGTAATTTGTATGGCCGCTATGTGCTTGCATGCATGCCTGACAACAATGGGGCATGCTCCTAATGAGTTCAACGGATGGTGTCCTGGGGTATTTCCTTCCAAATCTGTACCAGGGCATCATTGAGCTCCTGGGTAGTCTGAGGTGCAACCTGGCAACGTCAAATGGACCGAAACATGATATCCCAGAGATGGTCTATTGGATTTAGGTCAGGTGAGTATGGGAATCATTCAATGGTATCAATTCCTTCATCCTCCAAGAACTGCCTGCATACTCTCTCCACAGGAGGCCAGGCATTGTCGTGCACCAGGAGGAACCCAGGACCCACTGCACCAGCATAGGGTCTAACAATGGGTCCAAGTATTTCATCAGTCAGGGTGCCATTGTCTAGCCCAGGGGTGGGCAAACTTTTTGACTTGAGGGCCGCAATGGGTTCATATATTGGACCCGGGGGCCGGACCAAGAGTAGATGAATGATGTGTATGTGTCATCCATAGTAAGTATAGTAATATTCCCCCATAGTAAGCATAGTAATTAATCCCCCATATAGTAATTCATCCCCCATAGTAATTCATCCCCCATAGTAATTCATCCCCCATAGTAATTCATCCCCCATATAGTAATTCATCCCCTATAATAATTCATCCCCCATAGTAATTCATCCCCCATAGTAATTCATCCCCCATATAGTAATTCATCCCCCCTATAGTAATTCATCCCCCCTATAGTAATTAATTCCCTATATTAAGTCCCCAAGTCCCCCCTGTGTCAATTCACTTACCTTTGCTCCGCGCGTTCCTCTCGCCGTGTTCCCGCGCCGTTCCGATGTAGCATGAAAATCTGTCTCCTATGAGGATCTGTCCCCCTCGACGTATCTGCGCATGTGCCAGTTTCAGGCATTAGCAGCCGATCGGCGATCTCCAGCACATGCGCAGATACCTCGAGGGGGACAGATCCTCATAGGAGACAGATTTTCATGCTACACCGGTCTTCAGGGCGGACTGTGAGAGGAGCCTAAAGGGAGCCTAGCTCCGCGGGCCGGATTAAAAGGTCCGCCGGCCGTATACGTCCCGCGGGCCGTAGTTTTGCCCATTGCTGGTCTAGCCTGTAGAGGTCTGTGCGTCCCTCCATGGATATGCCTCCCCAGACCATCACTCACCCACCCTCAAAGCTGTCATGGTGAACGATGTTACAGGCAGCATAACATTCTCTATGGCTTCTCCAGGCCCTTTCATGTCTGTCGCATGTGCTCAGGGTGAACCTGCTCTCATCTGTGAAAAGCAAAGGGCACCAGTGGCAGACCTGTCAATTCTGCTGTTCAATGGCAAATGCCAATTGAGCTATATGATGCTGGGCAGTGAGCACAGGGCCCACTAGAGGATGTCAGGCCTTCAGGCCACCCTCATGAAGTAACAGATATCAGTCCTGTTGATGGGTTAAGGACCTTCTACCGCCCTGTCCAGATCTCTTAGAGTAATTGTCTGTCTCCTGGAATCTCCTTCACACTCTTGAGACTGTGCTGGGAGACACAGAAAACCTTCTTCTCAGTTGGACTGCCTGTGCAACCTCTGTAGGGTCCAGGTATTACCTCATGCTACTAGTAATGACACTGACCCTAGCCAAATGCAAAACTAGTGAAAAACAGTCAGAAAAGATGACTAGGGAAAAAATATCAGTGGCCTTCACCTGTAAAACCATTTCTATTTTGGGGGTCATCACAAAATGGAAACCCCCATGTGGGTTTTTACCACAATCTTGATTTGGGAATCATTAGGTTTATGGCACTAGAACATATCCTGCCACATGCACGGGGAGGAAATATTGACCAAACTCGAGACACGTTGGATATATAAACTAAATGCTACTTGTTATCAAGGCCTCAATGAATCTTTAAGTTTCAGAACGTTTTTTTATGAAAAATGCCCTGCCCTTTAACACGTACCCTGTTTTCTTTTACATTGTTGTTTCAGTATGTTCCAGTATGTGTATATTCTTATGGGTATTGTTAATTAAAATAATTGTATTGTTTAATTTATAATTATGGATTTCATATATGTCCAGAATGATGCCCCCCCCCCCCCGTTTGTTTGTTAGCCAACATAATAATAACTATTTTTTCTTGTTTATTTTTTAGACACATTTCCCTGTGTGTGGTTGTACGGATGACCATGGTGCAGCAGGTAGAACCATTGGGAGCTGTGCTATTCCATCTTATGTGGGGTTGCTGCCACCCACAGGTTATTAACAGTTGATATTGTTTTGATACTGGTCTTCTATTTTACCAAATTGATGTTTTTGTATGATGTTTTTCAGTTAGTTTTCCTTTGGTTGATCGGTCCTCCGGCGACTGGTGGCACTACTTTCATCTGAATCCCCACAATTTTTACAGCCTTTCATGGCTGTATGGGAATCTAAGCTTAGGGAATCCGTGAGGAGGGTATCCGCGCATGAGCAGTGACATAACGAGCGTCCACACCTGGCCGATGAAATCACACTTAGGCCTGGTGGAAGGTATTTAAGGCCCGATGGGGTTGGAGGTGGTCTTTTGGTCATGTGGGCTATGCTTAAACACCAAGGCTGTGCTCAATCATTATATGTCCATGGATTCATTCTTTGGTAAGGCCACCATTGCTGTGTCTTGCTGAGTAATTATTTACTGATTAAGATCCTATAATATTCCCATCTAGTCTTTGTTGGCAATTTTCTCTTGTTTTTTTTTCAATAGTGCAGAATCCTTATTAACAAGGGAGACCTCTGATATCCTGGCTATTTGCTCTTAATCTCTCCTCTATTTTGAAAGTGACTAATATTGGGTTTTGTCTTTTTTTTTCCTCTCTATAGAAAAATTACTGATGTTTATATGCATATACTTTGATTTATTAGAATTCGGTCCTTTGCGTACCTTCTGCAATCACACGGATGCTTGTGCCTTTGATTCAACACATGCTTATTTCTGCCTTAAAGAACATTATTGGTATTATAGTCGCAAAGGGTAAGCAGGGGGTTCATATATATCTGGACAATTAATGTGATGGAAGTATAAATATATACACTGTAGTGTGATATATATTGTAATATAATTTGTGTATTTTTTTGATCAATGTTGTATTTTTGATACAATTTTAGACTGTACTGCGGATAGCTATTCTCTTCCCTCGAAGAAGCCCAGGCTGGGTGAAACATGTTGGGAAGTATCATCTGTACACCGCAGGAAACAGTCAAGAGCTTTGTGATTCTTAAGTCTGTTGTAACAATTCATATTAAATGTAATTTTACTGACATTATTAAATTGTAAAAAAAATTAAAGACATTTTTCTAATTATTTTGCGCACCTTTAAAATCCCACAACCTATCCTTTTTTTGTATATATTTAAATTGGGATGTGGTGCAATATGGTGATTAGCAATTACTCATCATATTTATAATTTTCCATTTATTAGCATTAGTTTGATAGCTTATGGGGTGTTCTAAGTTTCTTTTATTGGCATGCGCAAAAAAAAAAAAAAAGCCTTCCAATGCATACACAAAACACAGTATCTCTGT